ATGTTATAAGGTTAAAACTGTCATTGCAGTTTCGAAATTTCTTAATTTGTTTCTTGGTTTTATTGTGAAAACAAAAAAAAGTTCATCTTTTTTAATCCCGACAGCAAAACCATCTCAGATTCCAGTGTATTTCTCAATCTTCTTACCTGTCTTGTTTACATAAGTTTCAACTGGACAGATTTCACAATTGAAGCAGCATTTGTGGATTCCWATTTGTTTTTTCGCAAATCCTTCTTCGCATTCTGAGGAGCACAATGCAGTCGGCACCTGTRTGAGGCATTTAAATAAAGAAAAGACTGAAGTCATGCAGGGAAGAGAAGATGAACCAGACAGCATGAGCAGAAACTATTAGCACAGGGGTGTCCAAACTTTTTTGCAATGCTAATAATTAGCATGTAAGTGTTTTAAATTTGACATTTTATGCACAACAATGCACTTATGAGACAAAACTGAACTCTGAATTAAACATATAAAAATCCCAGTTGGTGTCAGACCACATCTCTGCACATTTTGGGAAAAAACTACTTACATCACCCGTGTGCCACTGAATTTGGGAGTTGTTGATGTAGAAATACTCAGATGGGTAAATATTATGAAAGCCGACTTCCTGTGCCTCACTACTCTGGTTCCAAAAGACGATAGAGAATGATCCAAAGTAGGGATCTCCATTCTCATCAAACTGAACAGTCTGGTTCAACAGGGTCAAATTGGACTTCTTGAGCTCTTGTAGAACCTAACGTGGACATGAAAGAGGACCGTTGTCAGCCCAACATGGATAAAATGACAAAATGTAGAAATGTAGAAAGTGAATGCAATGACTGAATATACTTACAATATATGGGTGCACTGTAGTGTTGTTATCACATCCGCCAGCTTCACACTCTAARGTGTTGTGTAAGGCTTGAGCAATGGCGTATACTGCAGAATACACTGCAAAGGAAAAGGATGGATCTACAGCAACAATGTCCTCAACAAGCACATCGCTGCAGTTACAAAACTGATTACAAAAGGTCTGTTGGGCTGCATTTGCACAAGGAGCCTGACTTTTAGTAGAATAGATAAAATCATTGAAACCTGGTATYGTTATTACAGGCTGAGCCACGCCGAGCACAGTTCCAACACTTTTGATCCCCTGCAGTTTCGGAAGATGTTTGTTTAAAGACCAGCCATCGTCTGCTAACCACACTTTGGTGACGTTCAGTTCAATSGCTGCCTTAATGACAGCTTCTGCATACACTTTAGGAGCAAAAAGTACAATGACGTTTATTTTCTGCTCCTCTATCTGCCTGAACATTTGGGAGAAATTGGTATTTTCATTGAYGGCCTTGTTGTAGGCCAGACAGATTTCTGTGAGTTTGATCCTCTTGATGAACAGTTCCAGGCCGTCGACGCCAAAATCGTTATCACTGTTCAGGAAAGCAACCCAGCGCCAGCCGAAGTGTTCGATAATGTTAGCAATCACATTCACTGTGTTTTCGTTGGGATGCACCGTTCGCAAGAAAGAGGGGTATTTTGATTTTTCTGAAAAGATGGAGCCAGTAGCGCCATAGCTGACCTGCCGWGAACACAGACATAAACAAAACARTAAAAACTGTTAATCAATGAGTCGTACTCTTCAACAAAGTACTCAGAAGACACAACTCTTGCAAACTTACCATGGGAATGAGATTCGCCATAAAAAGTGGGGCAATAGTTAGGGTCTGGGTGCTTGTGAATGGACCGACAACTGCAATCACTTTGGACAGGTTCTTGGACGGTTCATCCCAAGGACGAATCAAATCGTTTACTGATATGAGCTTAAAAACACCTGCAAAACTCAGCGTGTCTGCGCAATGGTCAAATATCTCATAGCCGAGCGTTACATTTGGCAGCAGACTGGTGGAGTTATTGATTTCCTCCACGGTGAATCTCATCAACTGAAACCTCCGATAATTTGGAAGAAGGAAGAACTTGCTGCAGAAGAAGAAAGCACAGCAGAAACATATCAGGCTTTAAACATCAGCTGCAGAAAACAAATTTTTCTTGCAMCATTCAAGCAATGCATTGTTTTCAAAAGGTTAGACATGATATCATGCACAAGAACATTTGAGTAAATATTGACTGATTGGATTGTGGCAATTAGTTTGAAAATACACCTTTTCCACACGACACAGTAAAATTAACTATGTTCCCTTTATAT